TAGTCCACCTAGATAGATTATGTAGGGTTTTGAAATTAAGCACTCAAAATAAACTATGAATTTTGATATTTTCGCATGATATGATTGAAAGTTGAAACCTAGTGAGTTTTTTCTTCTTTCTTAACCAAAAAAAATAAAAAGTTCTTTCAAAATACAAACGCATTTACTCATTCTCTTCTCTTTTTTTCCCAACATCTCTACTCATATTCTCTTATACTTTTTCGAGATCTATCTTTCTCTTCATTCTTACCCCAAACACAATTTCATTTTTTTCTTTCCTCTAAACCAAATCCCCCAAATCATGTCTTCTAACAATCCACCGGATAAACCTTCTTCCTCCTCTAACTCCGGCCACCACAAGCCACATCCGCTTCCACCGCAGCCTAGCCGCTACGAATCGCAAAAACGCCGAGATTGGAACACGTTCCTACACTACCTCAAAACCCTAAATCCACCGGTGACAATATCTCAATTCAACCACACACACGTGCTAAGCTTCCTCAACTACTTAGACCAGTTTGGTAAAACCAAAGTCCATAACCAAACTTGTGTCTTCTTTGGACAACCCGATCCACCATCTCCTTGCACGTGTCCACTTAAGCAAGCTTGGGGAAGCTTAGATGCTTTGATCGGAAGGTTGAGAGCAGCTTACGATGAACACGGTGGTGGATCATCCGATAATAACCCGTTTGGAAACGGGTCGATCCGGATCCATTTGAGGGAAGTGAGAGAGTCTCAAGCTAAGGCTCGTGGAATACCGTATGGGAAGAAAAAGAAACGAAAGAAGAACAAAAACGACGTCGTCGCTGTCAAGAAAGATTTTTCAAACTCTTCGGGGTCATAATCATATTAGTCCACTTGATCTCGATGACTCGATCATATTATATCTAAGGTAATTATTATTTTTATTTCTCCTTCCTTAATTTACTTTGTTAGAATCACTCAATAATTAGTGTCCAATATTTTTACTTCGATCCGTTTAGGTAAAACCCTAATTGTTGTGACGGGTGAATTCTTGGGAAAAAAAACCCTAATCTGTTCAGTTTTTATCAAAATTTCGTTTGTCCTTTGTAAATTTTCTTTTCTACAGATACATCAAGAGAGTATCAAGAAGACTGAAAAATGGAAAAGATGGACTCGACCAGCATTGATACACATATCCTACCATTTCTTGAAAACATTTTTGAGCCATGAATTAATTATGTCCGGTTAAATAATTTTAATGTGAGTCCATTTATAAGCTTTTTCTAAATGTATTGATATAAGCCAAATACATACGCAGTACGATATTGTAGTCTTTTTCCATATACACACACATGTATCTATCATACATGTCAAAAGTAAACAAAATTAGATCCAAAACCATTAAAAATAGGCAAAATTAAGAGTGATGAATGGTAGACCATTTTTTATTATTTTCACATTTTGAAGACATGAAATTATTATTCTTGAAAATCTGTTTTTTTATTCATAAATTTTCATGTATTTATTTCACTATATATTTTGAGTGTTCTTAAATTACAATTAGAAAAAACGAAATATCATTCTTCTACAAAATTAAATTTTTAGCATTTGGCGATTATTATGCGCAAATCAGCTATTTGATAATTCGATTATTTTGTTATTATATTGTTCATCTGACTGTCAAATCCAAAGTAAGTATGTTTAATCCGCTTTTTAAGTAGAGCTTTTTGGTCTTTTATATTTTAACTGATTGAAAATCAAGTTTAATTTTCTGTTCGGTTTGTTTTTGGTATGGTTGCGATATATTTTTTTATTATATTTAAAATCGTTTGAGGTTTGAGAATGTGAGATTGCGATTCATTTTTTTTAAAGCCAAGTCTAAATCGAAAATTCAATCTCAAAGGTTTGCGAATGAAACTTAAATTTGGGATTACCAACAATAATCACTACAAGAAAACAAGCATTATTCCGACGGAATTTCCGACGGACGTAATTTCCGTCGGAAATTTCCGATGGCATCCCGACGGATTTCCGAGCAAAATGAATCCGTCGGAAATCCGTCGGGACAAGACGACGGATTTTCGACAGAAATAAGCTGTCGTAATTTCCGACGACTTTCCGACGGAATAACGACGGAAATCCAATTTTTCTGATGTCGGCAAAGTTTGAGTGGTTACCATTTCGTTAGCGGTGGCCGATGGGATTGGTGGGGTGTTATGTCAGAAGTTTATGACGGATTTCCGACGGATTTCCGACGAAAATCCGTTCTATATAAGTTTCTACATTTTTTCATTCCTTCATAACACAATTTTAAAAAGCCAAAAAATTTGTTAGCGATGAGTTCATATTTTCGGTCTTGGATGGACGAGCCAATGATGGATATATGGGCTCGAACTTATTAACATCCGCATACGCTGAAGGTATATGCGAGTTCATGAATTTACCCAGAAACCAAGATGCAGCCAAAAAAGGTCAGGATATCAAATGTCCATGTTCTAATTGCTGTAATAGAATTAGTGTTGCGGTTCATACTGTTTGGAATCACTTATATAGATATGGATTTAGGNCGGGATATAAGGTTTGGTTTTTACATGGAGAAAGCAATTATAAATACGGTAGTACTAGTAGTAATGCACCTTATTTTCCGACTGATATTTAGATTCTCCACCAAAGAAACAAAAGGGAAAGAAAAGTTTCTGGTTCTAACAAATGGTAAGTTTGGAGTGGATACAGAGACAT